CAGTGTAATTGCAAGGGGTCCTTATAAGTGAAAGAATGAGAGGAGAGAGTAACTGCTGGAGAAAGAGGTGTTATTTATTAAGAACAGAGGTTGGGGGTGATGAAATTTCTGGCTTTGAAGATGGTGGAAGACACTGTAAGCTAGGAAATGCAGGTGACTTCTGTCAGCTGGGAAAGGCAAGGTACCAGCAACTCTGCAAGGAGCAGAACCCTGGAGACACCTTGGTTTTACTCAGGGGGACCCACTTTGGACTTCGGTGCTCTAGAATTTTGTTTTTTAGCTTATTAAATTTGTGGTGATTTGTTACAGCAGTCGCAGGAAACTAAAACTGACAAAGGACAAAGACTGTGGCAGAATATTGATATGTGCTTGATGACTGTCTTGATAACTAATGGAACTGTATGAGTGCTTGATAAGTATCTCAAAGGGGAAAGAACAAAACTGAGATTTTTTTTCTGCTTGAGACAAGGTCTTGCTCTATGGTACAGGCTGGCCTTAAATTCACTACATAGCCCAAGCTAGCCTCTAACTCACAGTAATCCTCCTGCCTCAGCCTCTAGAGTGCTGGGATTACAGATGTGAGCCATCACACCTGGCCAAAATTGGGATATTTACTGAAACTTTAAACTCTGGTTTAAAGGCAGATGTCTTTTTTAAAAATGAAGTTTATTGGTACAGTTTAGATATACATAATGATCATATTCACCATAGGGAACTTGTACCTGTACATGGTATATCTTAATTCCTCTTTTTTTCCCAGTCTCCTCCCCTTCCTTCAACCTGTCTTTCCCTCCTTATTTGCGAAGCTTTATTTCCATTATATCCTCCTTTTATCATTTATTATTTTTTCTTTCTTTCCCTTTCCTTTCTCCCTCCCTAGTTCCTCTTTTCTTTTGAACCATTTCTTCTTATTTCACAGTATCTGTTGTACATTTGGGTCCTTATTTACTTTTTCAGTTTCTCACACCAGGGATACAGTGAAATATTTACACATATATATCTGATTTTTTCATTTAAAGATATAGTCTCAAGGTGCCTCCATTTACCTAGAAGGGTCTCAAGTCTATCCTTCTTCACAGCTGAGTAGTACTCCATTATATAAAAAGAAACCACATTTTTTTATTCATTTCTCTATTGATGGACATTTAAGTTGTTTCCAGGATTTAGCTATACAAACCCATATGCTGCTATTAACATGGGTGTGCATATATTGCTGTGGCATGATAATCCTCTGGGGAAGATACCCAGAAGAGGACTAGTTGGGTCAAATGGGATCTTTAATCCTATATTTTGAGGAATCTCTACAGTGACTTCCACAGTGGTTGCACCAGTCTACCCTCCTACCAAGAGTGGAGAAGCATTCCTTTTTCCTCACAGCCCCATCAGCATTTGTTATTGGTGGATTCCTTGATGATAACCATTCCTTTTGGAGTAAGATAAAGGAGAAAAGAAAGAAAGAAGGAAGGGAATATATATATATATGTATATATATATATACACACACACACACACACATATACATATATATGTATATATGTATACACACACACATATATGTATATATGTATATATATAATTTCTGTTGGTTTATTGAAAGGAACAGTTAGTGCTTAATTGATCAATTTTGCATGCCTATGTCTGGTAATCTGAGCAACTACTTTGAAGATAATAATATGCAATATAACAACCATTGTTAATTTCCTATCATCTTGTTTTGGAATTCTGTATCTTTATTGGTTTTTAAAAATTCTCTTTAAAATTAATTTGTGTCTCTCAAATGAACAGGGATATTGAACGTTTTTTAATGTATTTATTTGGAGTTTCTACTTCTTCATCTGAGAAGTGCATATCCATCCCAGAGGCCAATTTTTAAATTGTGTCTTTAAATTTGGGGGGTTTGATCTTTTCAGTTGTCTATATGTTCTAGAGTTACATCCTTTGTCTAAAGAACAGCTAGCTAAAATTTCTTCTTTTTTTTTTTTTTTGGTTTTTCTCCAGTACCGGGAACCGAACTCATGACCTTGCGCTTGCCAGGCAGGCGCTTTGCCGCTGAGCTAAATCCCCAGCCCTAAAATTTCTTTCCCAATCTGTGGGTTGTCTTTTCATTCTGTTGGTGACTTCTTTTGCTATGAAAAAGCTTTTTAATAGGATGAAATCCCAGTTGTTGATTCTTTGTAGTATTTCCTGCGTGATCAGGGTTGTGTTCATGACATCTTTGCCTACACTTATGTCTTCAGGAATTCTGGATACTCTCTCTTCTAGAAAATTGAGTGCTTTTGTTTTAATATTTATATCTTTGCTCCATTTTAATTTTAGGTTAGTACATGGCAATAGACATGGTCTAGTTTTAGTCTTCAGCATGTGGACAGCCAGTTTTTCCAGTTCTAATTATGAAAGAGGCTATCTTTCTTCAAGTGAATGTGTTTGGCCCCTATGTCAAAGATAAGGTAACTGAGTGTGTTTGGAATTGTTTCTGCGTCTTCTAATCTGTTCCATTGATCTTCAGGTGTGTTTTTTTTTGCCAGTACCATGTTGTTTTTCTCACAGTAGCTTTGTAGAATATTTCCCCCTAAAGGTAGGTGCTTTTAGGCCCAGATTTGTGTGGGATGACATAAGGACCCTGGTGTAATGGTTTAAGGTTGTTGCATACTGAAAGGCAAAGATGTTGAAAAGGGAAGTTGAAAGAGTGTCACATCAAGGGTGGATTGATGTTTCAAGGTTTGCTCATCTCCCAAGGTGAATTCTTGTGGTGAATATTTATTTGTCATTTCTGTTTTCCTGGACCAGAGTGTTTCAGAAAAGTTGAACTGTGCTGTTGAGCAGGGCAATAAGAAAGTCATGCTAATGTGGACAGGAAGCCATATGGGTGTAGATTATCTTGGTGCTCAGTTGCAAAAGGATATTACCCTAGGCCAAATTTCAAGTGTCCCTAAGGCCAGAAGAAAGGCCATAGAACCATCTGGCACTTTTTTCCTTCCTTGGCACTTTTTCTTTTTCCTTGGAACTTAAATATCTTATTGGACACTGGGATTTTTACTTAGGATAGTCTTTTTCTTGTTTCCTGATGTATTAGTTTTCTGTTGCTGCTGTAATATATCACGAACTTAGTGGCTGAATCAATCATATTTTGTCTCTGTTTCATTTTATAGCTTCTTAAGTTAGAAGTGGAGCACAGATCTGAATGGTCAAAGACCAAGGTTTTTGACTATGTTCCTTCTTTAGGCTGTGTGTGTGTGTGTGTGTGTGTGTGTAGAAATCTACTTCCTTGTCGTTTCCAGCTTCTAGAAGCCCCCTGCATGCTTTTATTGATCATGTCTCACTTTTTTTAATCACTTGGGATTAGATTGGCTCTCACTACAGAATGCAGAATGTTCTCCCTATCTCATGTAAACCTCTATCCAAAAGTATCTGTGGCCATGTAAGATAACATACTCTTGGTTCTGAAGTGGAGAACATGGACATCTTCAGGGGTCACATTTCTGTCCACCACATCTGTAGTAAATCTTTCCCACATGTAAACACTTCCTCTGCCTTTTGAGGACACTACTTTCCTTTTCATAGTGTAATTATGAGTGTTTTATAAATATTTTCATAAGATTTGTCTCTGCTTCTGTTTGTGGCATTATGTAGCAGGCTTGTTAGTAGTAGAGGAACAAGATGAGTACTTTCTCCTTGGCCCCATTAGAACCTTGCTGAAAATTTTGATCTTGAGCTGGCAGGATAATCTCTGTGTGCTGATGTTTTCCTGCTGCAGAAGGGTGGCTCATCCTCTGTGGGTACTGAAGCTACTGTAAGCAGGCAGCTGTGACTGGGTCTGCAAACAGGGTGCAGGGAAATCTCGAGCTTGTTCATGACTAGTCCCAGGGTCTGGTTAGGGAAAATTCCTTAAGAGGTCTGAAGAATTATTTATCAGATGTCCTGGTTTCAATGGCAATTCCATTGTTTGCATTATTCTTTGTTTTTAATGAGTATTTAAATGAGGAAGTATGGTAGGGTAGGTGGTAGTTAGTTGCTGTGTTAATCTAGCCATCTCCAGGGTCAGTTGCTTTTTATTTCCTCCAGTGTGTTCATAACTCTCCTTTATTGCTTGGTCCTGTTGTGTTCCATGCTGCTGAAGCTCTGTCTCAGCTCCACAGTGCTTCAGCTATGCTGTGTCTTCAAGGTAATCGCTGCACACTTTATGTACCTTGGCCAGGGGAGGTGTGCTTTGTGTCCTAGCTCCTTACTTTCAGTGAAACTTGTAAAGAGATTTTTTATTAGACAGGAATGATGCTCCCTGTTCAACCTTGCCAAACTTCTAGGCTATAGGAATGGATGCTAGTTTTGTTAATTTATGTTTTGCAATACTGGGGATTGAATGTGGGGCCTTCACAATGAGCTACATCTCTAGTCCTTTTCTTTCTCTCTTTCATTTATTTATAAATTTTGAGACAGGATTTTGCTAAGTCCCTAACTTGCATAGGATGGGTTTGAACTTGAGATCTTTCTGCCTCAGCCTCAGGGAGTTCTGTGATTAGCGGAATGTGCCGCCACTCCCAGCTCTGAATAGCCCCTTTTTAACCACTCAATGTTTAATGTATATCACACAGATCAAAGTCACAAAAATACTTATAAACCATAAAGATTTAGCCAAAGTGAGTTGTTATTGCTGTCTGTTATTATTCTTTTTTTTTTTTTTTTTTTTGTTTTTTCTCCGGTACCGGGAACCGAACTCACGACCTTGCGCTTGCCAGGCAGGCGCTTTTTGCCGC